CCCCAAGTCTACCTGATTTCATTGTTTATGCTATTGTTTGTGCTAGTCATGCCTATTGGGTTTCATTTTTTTATGTCTCTCTCTTTTTTGGGGGTGAGGCAATCAGGATTAAGTGACTTGGCCAGGGTCACACAGATAGGTAGTGTCAAGTGTCTGAGGCTGGATTTGAACTCAGGTCCTCCTAACTCCAAGGCCAGTGGTCTATCCACTGCGCCACCTACCTACCCCCTCCCCCAAGTCTACCTAGTCACCTCCCCTCTGAATGGGACCAAAAGGCAGGTTATAGTCATAAAATAAATATATGTCATTTGGGAGGGGAGACACCACAAGGATCTGGGGAAGGATCAGAAAAGACCTCATGGTGGGGCAGCTAACTGGCACAGTGGATAGAACACCGGCCCTGGAGTCAGGAGGACCTGAGTTCAAATGTGACCTCAGACACATAACACTCATTTAGCTGTGTGACCCTGGGCAAGTCACTTAACCCCAACTGCCTCACCCCCCAAAAAAAAACTTTATGAAGAAGGTGGTGCTTCCATTAAATACTGAAGGAAATTGAGGATTCTTAGGTTGAGAGGAGACATAGAATTGCACCCTAGGGATGGAGCACAGCCTATGCAAAAGTAAGGAGTTGGGAGATAGAATGTCATGTGTGAGGAACAGCAAAAAATCCAACGAAAATCAAAAGGAGTAATAGATACTAAGGCTGGCAAGGTAGGTTGGAGTCAAATTGTGCAGGGTTTTAAATGTCAAATAGAGAAGTTGTAGGAATTGCTAGGAATAAGGAACCACTGGAGTTTATTAAGTAGGAGAACGGTCAGACCCATACTTTGGCAAAATTATTTTGGCAGCTTATGTGGAGGATGGTTTGGGGTGAGAAGAAGCTTGAGGCAGGAAGACCAATTAGGAGGCTATTGAAATAATCCGGGCAAGAAGTGATGAGGGCCTGAACTTGGGTGGTAAGGATTAGGAAACACCAAGAAGGCTTTGGAGACTGGAAAACACTGGGGGAAGAACTGGGAAGAGACCAGGGGGAGGAAGGAGAGTTTGTGAAGCCATTGTCATCCCTAGTGAAATGCATCTTAAGTGCATCTCCGATGTATCAATAAATCATTCTAGTGCCTACCATGATAATGCTCAAACTCTTTTCACTCATGGGACAGTGTTTTTGGCTGTGAGGTATGAAAGGACACTGAACTTTCCAGATGATAACACAACAGGAGAGTTGGAAGGCTTGCACGTGGGCCATGTCTCTTCAATAAAAGCAGCTGTTTGTTGAGTTCTTTTCAGGTTCAGGTCAGATATTTCAACATTTCAAGGTTCGTGTACACATGTTATAGGCAAGCTTTGTTTATTTTACAAATACTATAGTTACAACATGGGAGAAGCAACACAGTGCAATAGATTGAGAACCGGCTTCTGAGCAATGAAGGACTGAGTTCATTGACCCACTTCTAACACATACTATCTGTGGGACTGTGTGCAAGTCACCTAATCTTTCAATGGTCTGGGTGGCTCCCTAAGACCCTAAGTTGCAAAGAAGGTGCTGACCTGCAGTGGTAGAAGGAGCTCCTTACCAGGAGTACCCTCCACCAAAAAAAAAAAAAAAAAGTCGCGTCTCTATCCTCGTATTAATACATATTAATTACATTAATATATAATGTATATCCTGGGTAAGTAAAATTTATGCTAATCTTCAATAACATAACATTCAAAATTTCATAGCATACCTAGCAAAACTTGGTGTGTCATCACCCACCCTTTGAGAACCATATGTTGGGTACTATGGGATTAAAAGCCAAAAACTGAACAGCCTCTCCTTTCTAGAAGCTGTTTCTTCTATTCAGAGAAACAACAAATACATATCAATTTAAATACAAAATATACACACAAAATACAAGATGGGGGGAGAAAGTATTGGTAGCTGGGAAGGTCAGGAAAGGCCTTGTCTGGGAGGTGACCCTGAAACTAAGCTGTGAAGGAAGCCAGGTTTTTTATGAGGTAGAAATGAGGAGAGAGTGTATTCCAGTCATAGGGTTCAGCTAACGCAAAAGCGTGGTGGTGGCAGATGGAATATCACGTATAAAGAAGAGCAACAGGCCAATTTATCTACCCTGTGGTATGTGTGAAGGATGATAACAAGCCTTACACCTCGACAGGTAGTCTGGTTACTATGAGGTGATGGGCTCAGGATGTCAAATGAGACATACATTTTTGGACATGGCCAATGAGGGTATTTGTTTTTCTTGACTGTGCATAATTGTTACAAGGATTTGTTCTTCCTTCCCTCCCTCTTTTCTTCTCTCCTCTCCTCCCTTTCTTCTCTCCTCCTTCCCTTCCTTCTTTCTTCTCTTCCTTCCTTCCTTCTTTTTTATCCTTTTCTCTCTTCCTTCCTCCCTTATTTCCTTCTCTTCTTCCTTCCCTCATTCCCTCTTCCTACCTTCTCTCCTTCTTTCTTTGTTCCTTCTCTCCTTTCCCTCCTTCCCTTTTTCTTACCCTCTTTATTTCCCTGCTTCCTTTCTTCCCTCCTCCCTTCTCTTTCTTTCCTCCCTTATTTCCTTCCTTCCTTTTCTCCTTTCCTCTTACCTCCTTTCTTTCCTTCCTTTTTTTCCTTCCCTCCTTCTTTCCTTTCTTCCCTCCTCCTTTCTTTTCTTCCTCCCTTTTTTCCTTCCTTTCCACCCTCCTTCCTTCTTTTTTTCCTTCTTTTTTCCCCCAATTATTTGGGAAAGAGAAAAGGGAGAGACAATAAGTGCTTGCTGATTTTTTAAAAAGCAAAATAAAAGATACACTTTTTAAAGAAGAAAGACAAGGAGGATGGGGCCAGATAGTGAGAGGTTTTAAAAGCCAAACAAGGCAGTCTGTATTTTATTCCAAAAGCAAGACAGAACCCCTGGAGGCTCTTGAATAGGAAAGTAAAATGGTCAGAACTGTGCTTTAGGAATATCACTTTGACACATTTAAAGAATGTGATCATTGTCTGCTGGGGAAGTCCAATCCCTGCTTCCATTTTTTCCCATAGGAGGGCAAAGTGATCCCAAAGGCTATAGGATGTTGGTTGCCCATCTTATCACTAGCCCTGGATGACAGGGAGGGAGTGTAGAGACAATAGAGAGAAGGAAGGAAGGTATTTAGAGCCAGGGGATCTCCTGTGCCTCAGAGTCATGGAGGTCTCAAGATGGAGGGTGAGAGACTGAAAGCAGGGGGTCCAATCAGAAGGCTACTGCAGCAGTCCTGCTGAGAAGTCATGATGGGGAAGTGGCCAGGTGACTAGAGGGAGAGATGTGATCAGATGTAGAACTGACCAGGCTATAGTTCAGTCATCAAGGAGAAGGGAGGGCCCATCTAGTCCAAGAGGTTGATGGGTCACAGTGTTTGGAGGGCATGGAGGAGTCTCTTTGCCCCTACCTGACAACACAACCCCATTTTTCCCCTACTGTATATTGCAGCTACTCCAGAAACCACACCTACAATACTTATATAGGGCAGGGTTACATCATCCCAGGCATGGACCAGGGTCTGCAGGGAGTATGCATCGGAGAGCTCCGACGAATCACCATCCCTCCACACCTCGCCTATGGAGAAAATGGAGCTGGTAGGCTTTTCTCCTTTACCTACCCCCCACCCCATTACAAACTCTAGCCTCACTCCTTCCCTTCCCTTTATCTTCCAGTTACAATGGGGACAGCTTTTCTTAAACCATTAGATACACCCCCATAATACTAGGTGTGAAAAATGATTTCTCTTGGTAATCTGTGTCTTGGAGACTCAGAGCTCCCCCCACCGCAAGCCTTCTGTCCAAAGTTCTTCAGAAGGACATTTCTGATAATGAGATTGCATTGAATCTTCTTATCTTGGTCAAACTCCAACCCAGGCCTGAATTGACTTTATCCTACTCAGGTTTGGGTAGAGACAGATTCCCAAGACTGGGGGTAGTATTTCCTTTGACGGCAGGTGATACTGACCCCTGTTGATTAAGTGACCTAAGTCACATAGTCAAGATCTCATTTTAATATAGCCTACCTCTTAGTATGTCAATCAATCACGGTTGATTGGCATCCCTTGGGAACACCTACTCTTCGAAGGGCATATAACCTTGTACCCCCAAATCCCAAATGGATCCAATTCTGAACTGGCCCCCTTAGGGATATCCAGTTTTGGACTGAACTCCCATGTAATGCATGTCAAGCCACCTTGAAAGAAATTAAATTGTGGACACACACACCCTAATTTTGTTTGTCTCTTTCTTAGAACAGACTCTATAATTGGGGTTTGATGTTAACTAGGCAATGGCCAGGGACTTGAGGTCCAGCCTAGCCTTTCTCCCCTTCCACAAAAACAAATGTTTTGAGTTATCTAATAGGTTCTCAGGAATGTGATTAAAAAATATAATTTTTTAAAAAATAACATGATCATTGTCTGCTGAGGAAGTCCAATCCCTGCTTCCATTTTTTCCCATAGGAGGGCAAAGTGATCCCAAAGGCTATAGGATGTTGGTTTCCCATCTTATCACTAGCCCTGGATGACAGGAAGGGATGTAGAGACAGTAGAGAAAAGGAAGGAGAGGTATTTAGAGCCAGGGGATCTCCTATGCCTCAGGGCCATGGAGGTCTCAAGATTCATCTTGCCTCTGCCATTTACTTCCTGGGTGACCTTGGGCAAAGGGAGGAGAACAAGCATTTATTAAGGGTCTACTACCATGTGCCAAGCACAGTGCTGAGCACTTTACAAATATCTCATCTGATCCTTCACAACAACCCTGGGAGGCAGGTGCTAGTATGATTTCCATTTTATAGTTGAGAAAACTGAAGCAGGCAAAGGTTAAGTGACTTGCTAGGGTCACAAAGCTAAGAAGTGTCTAAAGTCAAATTTGAACTCAGGTCTTCCTTACTCTAGATCCAATATTCTATCACTGTGCCACCTAGCTAACTGTCTCTAAGGGCAAATCCCTTAACTTCCCTGGGCCTCTGTTTCCTCATCTGTAAAATGGGGGTGAGGGGGTGGATTAGATTGGCCTTGAAGTTTCTGTTTAGCTCTGAGTCTACACTTACACAATGGTGTATTGCCCATCCTGGGCTCCAGGAGATAAGATCCCTGGCTCAGCAGTGCTGATCTTTGATGTCCACGTCATCGACTTCCACAATCCGTCTGACACGGTGGAAACTCAGACGATTTCCAGGCCCAGTGAAGGCTGCAATGAGACCTCCAGACTAGGGGATTTTGTACGCTATCACTATAACTGCTCCTTGCTGGATGGAACCAAGCTCTTCTCTTCGTGAGTACTGGGCAGGGGAGAGTCATTCATTCATTCAAGGAGTGCTCATTAAGCACCTGCCACATAGTAGGTGCCATGCAGAGGAGCTGGGGACACAAAGACAAAATCCAAAACAGCCTCTGTTTTTAGGTTAACTCTCTACTGGCAGAGAAATGGAACACAGGAGAACTTACCCACTACCACACACCAGCCTACAATTGTTCCTTATACTAGTCAAGGAAGGGAAAAAATAGAAACAAAACCAAACCACCTCTGATGATCTAGGGGGCTGCTTATTTGGTTTCCAGACAATCTAAGGCAGAGGTTCTTAATTTGGGATCCATGGATAGATTTCAGGCGGTCCATGAATTTGTTTGTTTTTTATTTTGATTCGTGTATTTCAGTATAATTGGTTTCCTTTTTGAATCCTATTTTTCTGCATTTAAAAACTATTCTGAAAAGGGTGCCATGGGCTCCACCAGCCTGGCAAAGGGGACCAGGGCACATAAAAAGGTCAAGAGCTCTCATTTAGGGTCTCTTGTTTCTTCTGCCCAATTCCCACATATCTGTTATAGCTATTTTCTCATTCCTAAGTATTTCCCATCCAAAGGGGAGAGGGAGGGTAGGAGGGAACAAGCATTTATTAAATATCTACTGCGCCATTGTGCACAGAGTGCTGGGCCTAGGGTCAGGAAGACTCATCTTCCTGAGTTCAAATCTGGCCTCAGACACTTGCTAGCTCTGTGACCCTAGGCAAGTCACTTAACCCTATTTGCTTCAGTTCCTCAATCTGGATAAGGAAACAGCAAACCACTCCAATATCTTTGCCAAGAAAACCTCGAAGGGGCTTTTGAAAAGTAGGACATGACTGAACGATTCTAAAGTCAGAGAATCTGAGACTGAGAGAGATTAAATGATTTGCCCAGGGTCACATGACTAATAAGACAGAATTTGAACTCAGGTCTTGTAGGCTCCAAGCCCAGTGCTCTATCCACTATGCTTCTTAGCTGTTTCCAGTAGCCTACAAATCATTGTAAATGAAGGAGGAGGGGGAAACATAAGCCTAGGGACACTCCTCCAGATTCAGATATTCCTTCTCTTCTTCCAGCCATGATTACGGAGAGCCCCAGGAAGCCACTTTGGGGGCTAACAAGGTGATTGAAGGCCTGAACACTGGCCTTCAGGGCATGTGTGTGGGAGAGAGAAGACAACTGATCATTCCTCCCCACCTGGGACATGGAGAGAATGGAGGTGAGGGGGCAAATGGGAGATGAGGTCATACACTCTCCAATCCCTCTGACTTTGTCCCAACTGGAGAAGGTGGATGCTGGGTGAAAGAGTTAAACGGGGTAGGGAAGGATGGTGAAGGGAAGCGCATCGAACTTCTATTTCCAGTCAGGGGATTTAGGAAGGCTTGGGAATGAAGCATTGACTGGGTCTTCCAATTCTTCTGCAGATCTCCCCTTTAAGTCCCAATAAGACCATTTTGGTCCCTACAGGTCAGGCACTACTCCCTACTCCTTCATTCCT